GGGAGCAGCGGCGGGAGGCGCCTCCGCGGCCGTCGGGGCGGCCGGTGCGGGCGGGCGCGCTCCCCGCCGGGCTGGGGCAGCGCTCCCCTCCCGGCTCCCGCTCCCCTCCCGGCTCCCGCTCCCTTGGCCAAGTAAGGAGCGAGCGGCCCGGGCCGGGGAGGGCCGCGGGCAGTGCTGCCCGCCGCCGGGGCCGCCCTCGGCCCCTCTTTGGAAGACGCCGCCGTCCCCGAGGTGCCCTATGGCCAAGCGCAGCGCTCGGGGCTTGTTTYGAACGGGGAAACGGAGCTGTTTGTATTTGAGCACAGGGAGCCGCGCGGGGCCCTTGCGCTGCTGCATCAGCGCCGCGCACGCGGCCCCGGCCTTGGCGAGTGCCCCGCGCTGCGCTCTCCGTCCTCGCACCGCCGAGGGCCTCACGGATCTCGCACAGCCCTCAGGAAAAGGACCCATCCAGCTTCGGCTGTGACTCCTTTGGTGCTGCTGCAGTGGTCGCTGCTGGTTGTGCCCCACCGGGAGCTCTTGTCATGGGTCTCGCTGCAAACCCGTGTCTCGCAGCGTGTTCTGCAGTGTGTTCCTTTCTGTGAGCGCAGAGCGCGGCCAGCGCGGGGCAGTGGGCATCGTAGCAATGGAGATCGCGGGATTCTGCCTCCGCGTTCCCTCGGAGATGAGCGGGGCTGGGATGAGGAAGCTGGTGGGTGAAGGAGGGCTCTGCAGGACACCCCGTCCTAACCTGGCCGAGATGCGAGAGCCCTGCGAGCGCAGCCTGGCGCTACAGCAGAGATGTCCCCTCCGTGGGGATGTTGAGGATGACCTCAGCGTCCGGGCTGCACCTGAGCAGAGAGAGGAGAGTTACGGGGGACCAGCAGAGTCTCACAGGGACTGTGAGAAGCAGGGCGAGGGCGAGTGACTGCTCAGTGCAGTCGGGCCGGTCTCGGAGCCTCTGWCCCTGTGCAGTAGCCCCATGGTCACAGGGCACGGGCAGCTGGTGAGAAGCCTGCGCTGTCTCCCAACCCTGGACTCCAGGACAGRTTTCCAGGGAGATGGACCCAATTTGGGGGACTTTAAAGGGTAAAGGTCCTTTAAAACCAAWTGGGTGTTGAACCAGAGCCCTGTGCGGCTCCGCAGCGCATCCCAATCCCGCTCTGCTCCTCTTCTGCCTCCCCTTGATAGTCCCCCAGCTGCTGCCCAGGCTTCCCGGGAAGGAGAAGCTGCAGGTTCCAGCTCAGCGCCTGTCCGTCCTGGAAGACCGACAGGAGACAACAGGTCAGAGCATCTGCTCTGCTTCTTGCCAAGAGCAGACAGAGGTGGTGCCCGCGCTGGGCCAGAGATGCGAGCTCCGACCCGCGGCCGGTCCAGCCTGGACGGGGCTCCCAGGGAGCCCCATAGCAGAGCTTGGAGCTGCTAGGGGAATCCAACCCGGGATTGCAAATTGGCTTTGAAAGAGGGGAAAGGGAAAYGCGGCTAGGAATGGATGTCCCCCCCGGACTGCAGGGCCCTGCCAGGCACAGAATGAGCCCAAGCGGGGCCAGCGGGAGCCCTCCGTGCTCCCKCGTACCCGAGAGCCCTCTCTCAGCCCACGAGTAACTTGGCTCCTTCTAGAGCCAGATTTGGTGGCTGCAGCTGAAGGGTTAATTAGGGAACGGAGGGACTGCTGAAGTCGTGTGAAAAGTTCCAGGGAGGCCAGTGGGGAACGTTAGCGAGACTGGTGCGGGCCTGGCACGGGCTGCCGCCTGCCAGGGCCGGGTAAGCACCAAATGCCTGACTTGTGATGTTACACAAACTTTCCACTTGGGCCTTTCTGCTATTTTTAACTCTTTTCCCAGCCACCCTCAGTAACCCCAGCTCCACCAGCTGTTGAAGCTAATTAATTCCCTTTTTTATCATTCTTTTATCTGAAAAAATTACGTTGCGTTCCTCCATTGTCAGGCTCCCCACACAGGCKCCTGACACTCTGCAGGCTTCCCCCTGCTTCCCCTCGTGTCTCCGCAGCTCTGCAGCCATAGCGGGCTTGCAATTAAAACACAGGCCTGAGAGGGGGCCRATCCAGCCCTGCTCAGTGTCTCCAGCACCGGCAGCGTGCTGAGCGAGTCTGTGCCACCACAAAGGCCTGTGTTTTCATGCAATGTGAACGGTTTGTGCGTGTGAAGCGCAGAGTGAGTGAGGAGCTGGCCCGGCAGCGTGGGCTAAAGAGCAGTCACCCATTAAAGGCATCTCTGTGCCCAGGAGCTGCTCGCACAGGCCGTGCTGGAAATAAGTGTGCATGCTGCTGGGCACACTTATTTACTCAGACAACCACATACCCAAAGGTAAAACCAGTCTGACCGACTCTGCTCGCAGGCTGTTGTGCTTGTTCTGTGCTCCACGCGGTGCCCCGTCACCACGGGACAGTGGAATAAAATGTCACGAGCTGCTGGTTTGCTTTCAGCCTACAAGCCTGGCCAGTTGCTGAGACAACAGCCTGGTATTTCTGCGAAGCAGCTGGCAGAGTCTTCTCCATATAAATCTGTAAGTGAAGATTCGCCTCGTGCTTTGTAGTTTTTACATCCAGTATCAGCCCTGTCAAGGACCTGTGTTGGCAGCGATGCTCCCACAAAGCCCACCCCAACCCCTCTGCYTTGTTTCTCAGGCGTGAAGTAAGAAGGACAGTAAGGTAAGAGCTGCTGTAGTCACAGGCCTTTAAGTGTCATGTCTGTGGAAACGGCTGGCATGAGGTTATTAGAGCTCAACACCATAGACTCTGAAGAGGAAAGTGCCCGGTGCCACCAGAGGTGGCAGAAACAGGCCTGCCCCATGGCCAGCACAGCTACCTCGCAGGGAGCATCGTGGCTTACTTGGGTCTGCGGAGAAGAACGTCAGCAAAGATGAGCTCTCTCGGGTCTCCCGTGCTCTGCTGAAGTGTCCGGATGCTTATTTTCAGCTCACTTATCTCATCTGCCAGGTCTTTAATAATCTGAATGAATCACATTTTCAAAAGTTCTTTATTTTGCAACAGAGGCAGGACTTTTTAGAGATTTGCAAACAGTGGAGCTGGAAAACACTCCACGTGCAAGAAAATCCCTAAGGGTTTCCTAAAACATCTATTGTGCTGCTCACCCTTAGCTCTTAACAGCCCACGAAACGGAAAGCAGCGTGTCCCGCTGCGGCACCGAAACCCTCCCTGCACGGGGCCACGGCCGRGGGGGACCAGCTCTTCCCCAAACCACTCACCTCCCTTTGCCTCTCCACCTCGCACTGCAGAATGTGGTTGTTCATAAACATCTGCTTCAGGCCATCCTGGTGCTCTAATATCTCCTGTGTGGGGGAAGAGGAGAGSAGCTGAAGGAAGTTCACAGGAACTGCTCGCGTGAAACCACCGTTAGGTGCCAGTGCTGGCCATAGCTCGTCAAAGAGATGCGTTACTCTTCATGGAAATAGCTTCTACTGGAAAAAGGGATTAGGTTCCAGCACTGAAAAATAGACTATAACAGTGACCATACCATGCTGATCGTGAAACAAGTTGGGAAATCATGAGATCCAATTTAGTTCCCCGGGAAAAGCYTATTCACATTGCTTGGATTGCTCCTATTGCCTGTGCTCACACATTCACCTGTAGAAGGGGACAGCCGCCCTTCGGCAGCAGAGCGAGCTGCKAAAGAAGCCGGTGGCCAACATCTACAGAGTGCATGAAGTTCTTAGCACAGGAGCAGTGCTAGGGGCATCAGGCAAGAGAAACTGTACGAAAGGAGTTACCAATGTCACGGAGAGCGACAACAGTCCCTGCTCTGCAGTGCTGCACACAGTCTAGTTTTCCCATGGATTTACTACAAATGTACRTGTCACAAGCTGCAAGCAGCCACCTCAGCACTGTAGGAAAGCAGGGAGCACGAAAGCAGCGTGAGTGCTGGGTGACACTGCACTCGCCTTCACAGGGCAAGCTCTCGGCCATGAATCCGGGAATATTTCACCTCATCCGACTACTGCAGGAACGTGGGAGCGCTTCCCCATTCCCTGGCCAGCAGCTCCAGGCACTGCTGTGAAGTTCAGTGAATAACTGCTGTTATTCACTGTCTGCACTGCGCTCTTGCTGACGGGCAAAGTGAGGAATCCCCTGTGTTTAACACGGGACYGGTCCCTGCGGAGGAAGCCAATGAAGTGCACCAACCTCCACGACGTTGTCTAGCAGCTCCTTCTGCTCCACCCGCAGTTTCATGGCCAGTTCTTCCAGGAAGGCTTTTCCCAGCGCTTCCGTCTCATCGATCTCGTGCTGAGAGAGGAAAGGGTGCATCAAAACAGAAGGACTAGGGGAGAGAGACACTGCCCCCCTTCCACCCCTGCTATTTCCTTGCAGCGCTGAAGGGAAGGAGGATCTCAGCACCTGCTGCTGCTCCTTCAGGTTCTGGATCTTGYGCAGCAGGAAGGCAATCCGGACGGCTTTGGCTGGGTATTCCCTGTCCATGTAGTTGCGCAGCATATGAAGTTCGTCCTGGAGAACCTCTACCTTTGAGGTGGCTTCATCCAGCTGCTGCTGCAGTTCTGATGGGAAGTCAAAGCAGGAAATGTC